ACGTACAATGTCATGGGAAAAAAATCAACTGGATATGGTAACTGCATTATATCTAAAAGAGCAAGATGTTGGCAAAAAACAATAACAGTAAAAAAGCAAGGTCAACAGAATAATCCCCGCCCTATCCCAAAAACACACACACACACAAAAATAAAGAAAATAATTAATCTGGCAACACACGCGCGACCTAGTTTCCTAATGGTGAGACAACCTGCACAGGAAATCTCTGGGTGGAACGGAAACTGAAAAGTTGAACCATTGATAAGAACAACCTCATGCTCCGAACGAATTCGTCACACTTCCTAGTTGCCTCCACAAAATAAGTTCACTTTATATGTAGTTACAGAACTCTTATTCCTATTACTTCCCAATCAGAAAGTTCCAGAGACCTCCAAAGTTTTTGCCAATTCAACCTTCATTATTCATTTTCCATATTAACAGATAAATACCACCCCAATAAGCTGAAGCTTTTCGAAGAGTTTCTGGCATTGAAAAGAAAGCAGAGTTTAACATATTCACTAAAAAAAGCCACACTAATAAAAGAAATGCCACAGATAAAATTCGTTGTAAGACTACCTCATAACACAGATTGAAAAAGGGAAAGAAGTTGAAAGAACAGCCAAAACCAGCCATAATACAGTTTGTGAAGTGCAGACCTCTTAGATCGCCGATGTCGAGTTTGGACAGGTTGCCGCGCCCGAGAATCTCCTTTCTCTCCATACCCGCCTGCTTCTGCCTGGCCTTTTTCAGCTACATGGAACTCACCCATTATTATTTCTTAATTATTCCAGAAAGAGCTCACATTCTTCTTCTACAAAGACTAGTGTATTCAATATAGATATAACTGAACCCAATTTGAACATGACACACACGGGATCCGCAGAGTATTAGCATCTATCTATCGTGAAGTGGAAAGAGGAATAAGCAGGCTTTAACAAGAAGAATCGAATTGATCATTGTAGGAAGAAAAATGAAAGAGGAAAAAAAATGGAATAATATTGCAAGAGAAGAATGTGAAGTAAATGGCAGTAGTTACCAAAGGACTACGACAACCGAGCAGGAAAGCTGGTCTGCCCGCAATTCAATACGATCACTTTGGGTTGTTGAGAGCATTCAATGTTTTGAATTAATTCATCTGCGAATCAGCCCCCACTCTGAGTCCCTTTCTCACTCTCACTCTCACCCTCACACGCACAACATAGAGTGTACGTTGAAATTTGAGTTCGAAACGAAGAGGTTCACCTCCGGCCGATCCTGTTTCATTCACCCGCCAAACTTGCGAGTTTTCCATTTGTCCGTGCAAAAATACAAATTAATTCATCAGAATATCAACGTACTCCTCGGGTCCTTAATATAAAATCTAATTCTTGAGTTGGTTTTGGTCCTAAATATAAGACCCATTTCTCATATTTATTATTTTTCTCTAAATTATCCCTATAGATACTCCCTCAACCATAATCAAGTAGAAGAGGGAGAGAGGGTATTAAAAAAGGTGATTATGGTATTTTAGAAAAAATGTGTCACTTTTTTTATAATTAACTAACTTACCTAACTTTCTTAATCTAATCAAATTATTTAAATAGGTCTTATATTAAGGATTGTAGGAGTATTATTATTTACTCAGATTAAAAAAAACTTTAAACTGCGTTAACCTTTCGTTAAAATATAATAAATTTTCAATTTTATTTTTATTTAATATATAAATTTTTTTAAAAAAATAATTATTTATTCTATAATAAATGAAAGACAATATAGTATGTTTATAGTAAAAATTTAATAAAATGACTTATAAATAAAAAAAAAAAGACTTTTTCTTTCTACCCTATAAATAGGACCAGAGAAGTATATATCAATATATCAACATTGTCAATATGGTATATAATCATAGGAATATAACAAATTACACTATAATAGCCCAAGTTGACTCAAATTCCATACAACAAAAAATGTGGATGATAAGTTGAGCGTGGTCCTCTCCTTCTACATAACGTAGCATTAATGGGACCTTGATTATTGCTTCTTGGAAAATCATTTTCCTTCAAAACAGTACATTATGCGTAGATGTACGGCATTTTCCTAACATTATTGGGGAAGATCCCTTTTTTTCGTGTCAAGGTGTTAAATATTGTACAGAAAAGTAACAGATTACTGTCTAGTGCCTCCAGTTTTAACCTCTCTTCAAGGCGAAACTTCTTTTAGAAAAGCCTGCGAATGAAATCGCTTTTCGTCTTTCAAAATCCAGCTTGAATGCCTTGAACGTACAAGCTTCGCTTTGCTTCATTCATGAAAACTCTCAACACGCACCGAAATTGTTTTCCATTTTAAACAGTACACCAAAAATTCGAGTATATCCAGGTGTCTCTCCCCAGACCAGAGGCTCTATTGATTTGTTAATATCTCGTAAGCCATGATCAACTACTAGTTTGCTTGAATTTCTTAAATGTTCTTAGTCATAATTCCATGTTGCACGTTGCAATCAAACTGAAATGGATATCGTGTTGAAATTTTAGGCCCTGACTAGACAGACATGAAATTAGAAAACCGCGTTTGGTAGGATTAGAAATGGAAAAAGATAGAGTATGTTTCCATTTGGTATACGTTCCTAACCATTTAACTGAAATTGACAATTCAGTACTGATTTTCACCGCTTCACCTGATTAATTTTGCTGTCACTTGCAGATTCCATCACATCTAGCAACTATTGACATTTCTGCCCAGTTTTCCTGATTGAATCTCCACAACCGCAAAGCTGCAATTTGAAATTATTCTCATCATTTAAGGCAGGTTGAATAGTGGGACACTCAAAATGGAATATTGCGAGTCAGAAATTGAACTCAACTGCGTCATGAATTTCGAGTAATAATGCTCGCATTGTGAAATTGAAGGCCCAGAATTAATCTCTGGTGAAGAACGATTCCATTTAAGAATTTTGTGAATATATCAGTAAAGTTAGGTTGAAGCAATTAAGGAAGCATGTGCGCGACCATAGTCTGGTCAATGGTTAATTACCCAAAACAAGATTTTTGACCAAGAAGTTCGTTTAAAGAAATTAAAAGCAACCTCGATCTAGCACAATAATTCGCCCTATGTGTTTACCTCAGTTCAAGCTTCATCTAGGTCCATTCATTGTTGTTATTTTCGTCCCATTATCTCATCCCAGAAACATGGTATGGACTCTGATCGGATGATGAGAGTAACCAAATTATGGTATCAACAAATTGAAATCTGATTAAATTAAATTACCCTTGTATGCCGATATTATCAGAATTTGACAGTGACAATTTGAGTCGACTTAATTTCTCTCTAGTCCATGGGAAATTTTTAGCATGATCAATACCTCAACTTCTTATTAATTTCCAGCGTTTAGAGTCTCTCCAAATGGATACCTGGTAACAAAGTAGTAATAGTTTCAGAGGCCCTAATTCTCATTAGAAATGGAAGGAATATTCCTGCTGTTAGGCTCATTAACAGGGTCAACTCAAAGATCGATGTACGACGATGATCCCCATTTGTTCTTGCTCTCGAGTATATATAGGTCGTCACTTGGAGGGGAAAATTCTAAAAAATCTCAATTTGTCCTACCTTTCACTTACAATATTTTTTGCCAAACGGAAAAATGGTTCGTTTACTCTTCTTTTCCTTCTCGTGTCAGGTAAAAACAATCAAGCTCTCACAAGATAAATAGGAGCACGTTATTAGCTGACATATCTATAATTGAAGGTCAATGCTCTGTTTTTCGTATGATTACGTATATATTGACAGTGACGGGGTTAAATGTAAATGCTCACTACTAAAGCATATATGAAGAGCAGGGTATATACGTTACGCTTCTGCAGATTTATAGTCAATGGGATGATGACAACACTAAGGTAGCGGAAAAACAATAAGTACTACCTCTGATTTTTAATATAAAACCTTGTTTGACTTTTATTTTGGTCCTAAAACCCTAATCTATTTTATCTTTCATATTTATGCATTTTTTAGGGTAGCCCTTAAAATAGTGTTAGTTTTAGCCAATACACTTGATTAGTAAGGATATTTTAGGAAAGACAAAACTTATTTATTACAAATAACTAACTTGACTTATTTTTTTAATTTCCTCAAATTAGTCAACTAACTCTTATATTTAGAACCGAAGATAGTATCACATAATTTGGTCTCAAAACCTCATTATTATTAAAACTGTTTTTTATAAAACCAGCATGATTTACTATAATATGCATAGAAAATTCACCAGATAAAGCATTCTTGGATCATCACTGTAGAAGCTTCTGCTCCAGAAAATATTTCTTTCACTTAGTGGTGAAATAAAGGACAAAGTAGCATCACTTGATCTGTTCCACTATGAACCGTCCAACCATTCGGGTAACTCGTTTCAAACAATCCTGGAACTAAACAATTCCTATGGAACGGGACTTTGAGCCTAACCAGCCTGTATTCTAATATGGCTCTATTTGATAATTCATGTGGCCACAATTGAAGGACAAGTATTAGGTAAAGAATATATACGATAGAGAAGATGAAAAGAGACTTGTTCTTCATTGATCTTTGTCATAGAGTGGAATTATAATAATTCATAACCTTAGTTATTGCCATCATCGTTATCATGATGATTAAATTTAAGTTTTCTGTTGGTCCAGGAAAGTGATGTCTGACATTTACTATGTTTTCTCCAAAGTCGATGAAGTTTACTTTGACAATGTTCTGCTCGAACATGCTTATCCACCCAGTATTTTATGAGTTTCTTGTTCGTTTTTAAAATCCTCACTGTGAGATCATGATGAATATTAAAATATCAAAACTGATCCCTAAAGCTTGTAGATACAAGCAACAAGGAGAAGGAGGATCGTGGTTCTGGTCGACTTCAATCATCCGTCATCCAACCACTCATGTGGCCCCTGATCGGTGCCAGCCAAGCCGGCCATGACGCTTTATACTTATATGTGTGTGTATATATATAAAGTTTGGCATAGTTTTCCGCTAAGCCACACTAATAGGTTCAGAACATTATTAGACAGCCAAGAGGCTCCATTTCTTCACGGGATTGAAAATGGTGAAGATAGAATTTGGTAGCTTTCCCGACTCTTTTAGCGTTAATTCCATTAAGGCTTATATAGCAGAGTTCATCGCTACTCTTCTTTTCGTCTTTGCTGGCGTTGGATCAGCCATCGCTTACGGTAAGTGCTCCGGTGTAGCTGATCTATCACTCACTGAACTTCGCTCGTGAGTGTGTATATTAGATTTAAGCACTCGGCAGTAAAGGGTAATGTTGGAATTGGTGTGTGTATATAGGTGAACTTACGGAGGATGCAGCGTTGGATGCGCCGGGACTGGTGGCGGTGGCGGTGGCCCATGCGTTCGGCTTGTTTGTAGGAGTAGCGGTGGCAGCCAACATCTCAGGCGGGCATTTGAACCCAGCGGTTACTCTTGGATTGGCAATTGGAGGCAACATCACCATCTTAACTGGCATCTTGTACTGGATTTTCCAATTGCTTGGCTCCATCGTCGCATGTCTCCTCCTCAAATTTGTTACTGGTGGAAAGGTATTTATAACTAAGCGCTATTCCAAAAACACATATTATCTGACTCGGATGAGTGTGTTTTTTTTCATATATTACTATATATTTACTTCGTATACATATTTAGTAAAATTACCTTTAAAAAATTAATCCAACCAGTCTTTTCAACACCTTAAAAGATCAACTACAATAGTCGAAAAAATGTGCTTATCTTTTTTCATTTCATATATGCAAGTGAAACACACATATGCACAAACATGGCAACATCCTCGTCATGTTTAAATTTGAAACCTTATCTGAATATGTATGACAAGAAATGCTGTCGCCAGAACAACTTATCATTTTACATAACTAACACGAACTCTGGATCTGTTTGGCAGAGCATTCCAACTCATGGACTAGCAGCAGGTGTGGGTGCAGGAGAAGGTGTAGTGTTTGAGATTATTGTTACTTTCGGATTGGTTTACACTGTGTATGCCACAGCGGCTGATCCCAAGAAGGGTTCCCTGGGAACCATTGCGCCCATTGCAATTGGGTTCATTGTGGGTGCCAACATCTTGGCAGCCGGTCCATTTAGTGGAGGTTCAATGAACCCGGCTCGGTCCTTCGGCCCTGCTGTTGTAAGCGGCAACTTCATGGATAACTGGATTTACTGGGTCGGCCCATTGGTTGGAGGGGCCTTGGCCGGGTTGGTCTATGGTGATGTCTTCATTGGTTCATATGCTCCGGTTCCTGCTGCTGAAAGCTACCCTTAAATTTTTCTCATGTGTGACCAGTTTCTCACCGTTTGATTTCTTGCTTTAGTGTGGAAATTGTATCTTTGACCTTTGATCATCCACCCAGTGAAGGAGCTTCTTCTTGTAATAAAAATGTAAATAATAAACGCAATTTAATTTCTCAAGCCTTGCCCTCAGCTTTCAAGCTAATTTTAACCGGCGTTATGCCCCTGCTTTGCATGTGCTGTCCATATATAGAACAATCAGTTTCCTTCATATTATGACATAATGAAAGAAAGAATACTTTTGGCACAGTTACTTGCTAGTATTTGTTCTATAAATAATGATTTTGTTATTTTATGCAATGTTAATAATGTTTAGAAATAAGGAGGATGGCAAAATAGGAGTAGAGAAAGAGACATGGTTGTTGGTAACAATATGTTAAAAGGACAGAACAATATCATTATGTGAAGAATTATGCGTCAACATGATTGAAGCAAATACTTGAATACTTTCATTTTCTAATAACAAGTTTGGATGGAGTAATGCTGTTACATGATGATTAGTAAATAAAAATGATAGATCAAAAATTGGAAACGTAAGGAATGAAGTTCCATATGTATGATATACATTACCTCCGGTCTTAATTATAAAACCCGGTTTGTAATGTATAAATAAGATCTTATGATTAGGACCGGAGGTAGTAAATCATGTAGTACTATAACATATTTAGGAAATTGGAAAGTGGAGAATTTATGGTCAAAATTTATTGATGATGATGGAAAATGACTGTATTCTCTTTACGCTTGAAATAGAAGTCTGCATTTTGCAATTGTATTTACTCTTCCGGTTCTAAATGTAAGACCCTTATACACACTAGTATAAGGGTCTTACATTTAGGACCGGAGGAGTATTTATTTATTTTTTTTTACAGATTCCGGACATAATTTAATCGTTATAACAATGCTCCATTTTTGTCGGATTATATATTCAGACGACACATAGAAATGGAAGTAAAAGGAACATTTGAGAGGAAGTGTCGGAAAGGAGTTTAGGTAGAATACTGAGGATAATACTGTCAAGGTGTAAGCTGGCATTGCTCTACAAGGAACTAATCTTGTCCTTGTCTTACACTTCAATCCATCAAAATTATTTTTGGACAGAAAATAGGGAAACAAGTTCGCATCATCAGATGGACAGAAATAATTTCCCCTTCCTTTATTCATTTGATCTCCAATGTTTAGACAAATATGAATGTATTATTAAGCCCATTTTCTCCTGCTTCCCTCAACATTTTCATAACTACTCAATGTTTCTTGTTGCATTTAAAATACTTATCAACAAAAGAGAAAAGGAAAAGAATTCTCACCATGCGTTGCACACACTATCATGTTTTTCACAAAAGTGAAATTGAACTATTGTACTGCTTTCAAATTATCATGCCCCTATAATGTATTATTTTCCTTTTAATATATGGGCAAAAATCAAGTCTTGAAAGGGAACAATGAGTCTATCAAGGGAGAATTAAAACTAGATGACCAAATTTACAAGTTAATTACTAAAAAGACCCTCAAAACATACTCCTCACGTAAAAAGTAACATTATTTGTCCTTTTCTTTTTGCCAAGAAAAACTACCATTATTTATCGCCCAATCCCAAAGAAGCAGAACAATGGATATTTGCCATTAATGATTCTTAAGAATAAAAGATTTGTCAATTCAGTACTTGGTAATAATTCCCGGCGTATCTAAAGCCATTAAAAGCACTATACTCTCAACGTAGGCCGGCTTTTAATATCACTGAATGACTTCAATGTAATTTAATGGCAACAACATTCAACAAATCATAAAGATTCATTTAATCGTTTAAGGGTAATAATTACATTAAGTTTTTTATATCTATTACGTGAAGTTTTCTGATCACATGACCATGTGTCTTATTTGTAAAATATTAACATTTAATTATAAATTCACATAAAAAGGACACATGATTATGTATGATTAGAGAACTTACAACATAATAGATATAAGAAAATTGATCTAAGTTTCTTTCATCATTTAATACATAGGCAAAAATAATCATTTAATACATAATCCAAATTCCAGCTTTGAATTCCAATCACTTAAATCTAGCATATATACGTTCAACTGATAATTCTAGTGGCGAACAGAGCGCTCGAGCTTAGCATCCATCACGTGGGTCATTAGGTTATCGGAAAACATGAACGCAACCGCAAGGAAGTTGGCTTTCTTGATTTTCTTTTTTATCATTGCATCTAGTTAGTCCATGTCCCTATCTCTCTTATTCTTGATGAATCTGTAGAGAGCAACACGCCGTACTTTTGTTCGCAGGTGTAGCATCTCGAGGGACGCTAGGATCTGGAGATCAAGCCCAAGCTTGCAAAACTGATGAAGATTGCGAAGAACAATGCGATGCCGGAGGCTGCAAAAAGAACTGCCTTGGATTGCCTAGTGTTTGCTTCAAAGGCTTATGTGCTTGCCCTTTTGGCAGTGGACATACTTCCACCAAACCTATCATAAATTCCACTTGTTGTGTCGATCAAGATTGCTCTAGCCTCTGTCCTTCCGTTTGTAATGTTCAGAGTTGTCTCGAGGCCAAGTGTTATTGCGGGTGTTCAGGATGAGAAAGCATCCCCCTCTTCTTCTTACTGCATGTATCGGTCGTTTTATAAATAAAAGAACCAACAATTACAAATGCGAGACAGCCTGAGAACATGTTATGTCTAAACACAATGGACAATTATATCCCGAACTCTCACGGTTTCATGTCTTCTACTTTCTGCTTTCATCCTTGTGCGTTCGTTTCTATCCTGCACTTGTGTTTTAGCAGAGGTTTGATCAAACTGTTTCGTAAGGAAGTCTTCCGAACAACACAAATTGTTATAGACTAGAGTGCTACAACGCGTCAGAAAATTGCAAATATACCTCACCACCTCTTGATCTCAAATTGTTCTGTCTTATGTACACTCCATTCAAAATTGGATGGTTATGTCATGACCTTGACATTTGGACATCAGATTTGCTTTATTGCTGTATCATAGTGTAGAACTGACACACGTATATATATAGGAGTACAGGCGTTTGGGAAAACTTTGTCTGAACAAATTATATGCTGTTACTGATGCTTAAACTATCAAGAGAACGCTCCGTTGCTTCAATGGAGTTGAGTTGACGAAGCAGACTCTCTATCCCTTCAACCCATTGCTGCTTGTGGAGTTTACTCTTGCATTTGAACTCTAGAAGACCTTGTGCTGTTTTGAGGCCAAAATATAACTCTTCCGATGCTTCTCTTTCCTTTTGATACGGCCACCCAGCATCTTTATCACAGATTCCATAAACAATACCTACATAGCACAATATGTTACCCGAGATCTTTCAGAATCCACAGCTCCAAATCAGAAAAATAGATGCTTCCTAACGCTGGAAAAATAAGTAATATGCGTGTGTTTTACTGATTTTAGAGCATTTGTATTAAACGCACTTACATTTTTTCTTTTTGGAGAAGGTTCCTCCAACATGCTTGCTTTTTAGCTTAATCTTGACCTGAGAATTAGGGAAATGATAAGTGAGTATATGAACTTTGTTGGCTTGTTGATAAAGTCCACCGTCACATTATTTGTTAGTCTGGTGATAAATTTGTCATACCTGAGACTTCTTGTTGATGTAGACAGTGACATGCTTCCATTGTAAAACACCTGAATACAAGGAAAGATTTAGAAATGATGAACTAAGGACTCTAACATGGCTTTTAAATATAAGTGGTTCTTTGAAACATAAGCATTTGACCTGATAGCAATTAGCCAATTACCTTTTCGTGTTAACAGCAATAAATCTCCCACACATGGAGTAGGACGCTCCCACACTGGACCGTCAAAAGAAGGAAACAAATGCGTTTCAGCTATTCCCCTATGATAGGGACTGATGGACGCATTCTTTTTTGCCTCCTTGGGCAATCTCGCTTTCAGAGCTGCTTCCCCTCGCAGGGCTAATTTTGAAGTGCAAGAAGAATCTTTAAGTGAATTAATAATGAATAACTTAATTGTAAGAACTATGTTACAGGATTAGACAAAGTAAGCAAGCACCTGTTGCAGCAGCAGCAGTTAGAGTCATTAGATCTCCAGAAGTTCGAATATCAACGGCAGACCTGACAGTGGAAGCCACCCGCTCATGATCACCTCCGGCTAATTGAGCCATTTCAATGCAATGAGATGCTAAGAGTTCAGTGGCTGAAGCCAGAGCAAGGTTCAATTTTGAAGGAGAGCCATTGGAGCTCTCTGCTGCCGCCACAGCAGCCAAGGCCGAAGCTAGTGCAGCAATGGACACAGCAGAATGTACACGAGCATTTTCAAGACGTACCCTGTCTTTCTTTCTCATCGCTGTGATATTGTTAGTACGATTACCATTATGCTTTTGGTGAAACCATCTACCAATGGTGCTTGTTCTTCGACAATTAGTAGAATCAGAACTTACTGCCTTCCCTGGCTGCAAAAGCAGAGAAAAGTTCAAGCTCGCACACAATTCTGCCACAAATGATCAATAATAAGGATTCAGATGGGTGTTAATATGCTAGGATGATGATGGCTTACAAGTTGAGGTGCTGAAATAGTTAGTGGCAATGCGTCTGGATTCTTATCGAGGAGATTTCGTTTCTGTTTTTCTGAGAGAGCCTTGGATATTTCAGAAGCAGAGAGACTCCAAGACCTCGATAGGAACTCCATAGGCTCATGCGGTGTCGGTGGCTGAGGTATGGCTGGCAACGAAGAGACCAATCTGAGTTCGTTATTTTCCTCCACACCCTCGAGCCCATACCAGGAACCATTTTTCCATGGTGGAAAGAAACTGCCTTCCATTTTTGCTTCAGAAAAGTTCTGAATGCTTCGAGCAGTTCAGTTCCTTGAGATCGTTATATGTATACACACACACTTTTTATTCAAAAGCCTGCAATGCTGCATTAGGCGCGCAACACAAGACCCACAAAGCAGAAAAATAAGGTTAGCCAGCAAATTATCTAGAATACAAATCAGTCTCGTAGAAGCTAAAAGTAAAGCTTATCGTTTTGTGTCCATTTGAATGTACCAGTTTTCCCAGAGCAATACCAGATAAATTACCTCCGTTATTCCTGACGGACCGTGCCTAAGTCTGAACCTTACAAAATCTTCACGGAATTGATAATCTGACAAAGAAAAAGAAAATCCAATTGGGAATTGATTAAGATCCTTTAGCAAATACCAAATGGCAAGAGACAGATTATTCTATAATAGTTCTCCAAAAGAA